GTAATCTGATAATGATTGGAGATATGTCTATAAAATACCTTTCAGGGTGCGTGTTAATGTCAAACATCAGTGGTTTCAATACAGTGTTATATTCACAGGTGTCTATCAACTAACAAATTGCTATAAAAAATGAAACTGATTGAAACCAATGCTTGTACTTTCTGTAAAACAAGTGTCGAAACCATAATTGACATATTCTATGAAGGTGAAATTGTCAAAGAGATTTGGAATAATGTTCTTGCATGGATTCAACATAAAACAGGCACTCTTTTTCACTTTGATAAAAAGGGTGTTATTTGGATACCCTGAGAAAAGAAATGATGTGCTCAATCGCATCATTATAATCACAAAATACAATATTTTCAAATCAAGACTAGCAAATAGACATCCTAACATTTCACATATCAAAAAAGATGTCCAAATGTCTTGACATAGTGGACTATTCACTGTATGTTGTGAATGAGGCAAGTCTAAATTTTCTTATGTTCTGAATATCTGGTCTCCCTGGGGCTCCTTTCAATTTAAATGTGTTCGTTTGTTACTGTCAAAATTATATATATTCAGAGACTAAGCATTAGTCTATTTGACTTTGTACGAAAAAAGGGTGAAATAAAAAAAAAAGTCTATATATAACAACTTTAAGTTATTGTAATAATCAATTTTACTTTTCTCTGGAATATATTTTTGAATTGCATGGCTGATTAGCTACAGCTATATGATAGAGTTAGGTGGTGCATAAAGTTTTCTGAGTAGAGTAAAATTCATTTACAATAATCATACTCACAACAAATAAACAAATATAAAAAACTGTTTTTGGTCTTGGCCTGTAACAAATAGGGCTGCGCAGCGCAATATAACCGGTTTACCGGTTCAGACATGAAAACGATACGTATTGCGATACGCTGATCGAAAACCGGTATTTTGACATGCATTCGGAAAACTTCGTAACACTCGGAAATCTTCGGATATTTCCGTTTTTTTAATTGTTCTTTTCCCTGTTTCATTAGTGCCAAATGTTACTTACATTTTTATTTTGTCATGATTAAAAGTTTTGATAAAAGGTTTATCAATCATAGTGATTTTGTTGTGTTTTTGCTATAAAATCAAGCATTAACTCGTTATAAGTAGTTTTTGTTAAAAAAATAATCCTTGCAATATATTGCAATACATATCGCAATATATGCTTCCGCATCGCAATATATCACAATATGAAAATTCTCTGCAATACCCACCCCTAGTAACAAACTAGTTACAGTGAACTAAAAGTAGTTCTTATCACTGTAGTGTACAGTAGTATATAGTTGAGGGGTAGTTATTTTTGCTGCAGCCTGTATGCAGCTTGACATTCTGTTGCAACAGCTACCATAGTAAGGGAAGACCTGCCAAATAGTTTGTGTGTGTAGCGTAGATATTATCACAGCATACTATCATATTACATACTGCATGCAAGGTAAGCCATGTTGTCTTGTCCTTTCAGATAGTCACCTTTTGTTTCCCCTTTGTCATCTTTTGTGTTTAAGTTGATGAAATTGAAATGATCACTGGCCTGCTTGTAAGAGACTCAAGACATGTCTCTACATATAAGTGGTCTTGTATCCTATTGTGGAGATACACAGTCACCACTGAGCATCAGGAAGTCAAGGCACACTGTTGCAGATGATGCAACTGATGTGCATGTCAGAATCCTTATTTGACAGACCGTGAAATTTAAGAGCTACGGAAACCTTATTAACCAAGAATGTCGACTAATTCCAGTGGTGATAACATCTAGCAGTTCCCTCCCAAATGTTTGAAATTCTACAGCTCCACGTAACCTTTAACAATAACAAGACTGATATAGGCTTCTGCTAATATCCATTCTTGGAATCGTGCATTCTGATTGGTTTGCCATAGGTTCCAGATCTGAGAACAATGGTATTGTTGATGACTGTATTACAGCTTAAAGGTCACTTGCAACCAAAAAATCAAACATAATTAAAACACACCCAATTATCACTTATTCATGACATATAATATACATTGCTGGTTATGAAAAAACATAGAAACAAAATTATAAGCGTACAATTGCAAATCAAAAGTGCAATATTTTGTACTTGGGTTTACTTCCCTAGAAACGAAGCAGCCGGGATACCGAACCCAGTCAGAGCGGGTGGGTGTGCACTCAAGTGTAACTGCTGGTTCATTTGCAGGTACCCTCATGGCTCATTGCGTGTGTATATATAGAGATGCTGGATTTTGTAAATACATGCTCATTTTTTGTGTATAACATTTTGCAATCAACAGACATCATAACATGCCATGTGTACAAGTATCACACCTTGTAATTACATAATGTGACAGAGACCGAACTCAGGGCATAAATCAATGCATTTTGTTTATGGTTTATAGCCTGATAGGTGTTAAGTTCAAATTGCATGTGGTCAGTGATTGAAGTTGTGCATTGAATATTGTCATTAGCAGACAGGCAGGCAGACACATAGGTGTCAAGAAAACAGACATTGAGTTTTGTCTGTGACAACAACGTATCTATATCACAGTTAGAAATTCTGTCAACGCTAAATAATGACATTGCTTTTAAGTATCTAACTGAAAAAGTGACAGGGTAAGAAGAACGTGTGGTGAAATAGACAAATGAAATTATATAAACAGTTAAATCGGTAATCTACTGTCATAACATATAAAAAGCTCGCGCCTGTGAAATATCAACAAAACATTAGAAAAATAGCTCACACCAAAGCCTTCACTGAGTATTGACTGGACAACCCGCTTACAAGCTGCGCGAACCTATTTCAATGCGCATGTGCTATGAGTGCAGCCCAGCTCAGCTGTTGAAACCACTTTTTAGTGAATCGTTTGAACTCCGATTTTGTGCGGGTTTTTCATTGCGTTATTTTTCAACTTTATAAGTTGAATTTGCATTTTTTATGATTTGTTTTGGTAAGTCCATACCGAAAGGTATCAGAATCTGCAAAGTTGTGTTTTACGTTGCATGTGACCTTTAATAAGACAAATTTATTCAATAGCATTTTCTTGATATTGTATTACATAAAATCATTATAGAATTGTTGTTCTGGAAACTTTATATGATAATGTACATGCTACATAAAATCAGGTGGAGATAATGGTTTATCACTTTTTTAAAAATCAAATATGGTTTATTTTAGCATAAAAGCTTAGAAAACCAAATTAATGTACAGGATCCCGATCCACTACGCCATTCGTAAGCCTATGGTAACAAGAGTTACGACAGGTCTTAATGTTATGAACGCTTTGTTGATTGGGACCCATGTTTACAAAACGGATATTATGGTTTTGATGTATAATGAAGATTATGGACAACAACTTCTTGTTTATTGTATAATGTTGTTATCTATAAATTGGTAATCTTTGTTATTGACTCACCAACTTCTATAATGCTGATGATACACTTATGATTGATGTATAACATTTAACTTTCAGTGTTGCTATTTGTTCAATAATCAGCTGTTAAACCTCACAGACTTCACTTGACCTCAGTTGACCTCTCCTCACCTTCCTGACCTAAACTGCTCTTACCTCACCTGAACCCGTGAAGGTCCGGGTTAGAATGAACCTTCAGTAACCCATGCTTGTTGTTAGAGGCGACTAACGGGATCGGGTGGTCAGGCTCGCTGGCTTGGTTGACACATGTCATCGTTTCCCACTTGTGCAGATTGATGATCATGCTGTTGATCACTGGATTGTCTGGTCCAGACTCGATTATTTACAGACCGCTGCCATATAGCTGGAATATTGCTGAGTGGGGCGTAAAACTAAACTCACTCACCTCACCTCACCTCACCTCACCTCACCTCACCTCACCTCACCTCACCTCACCTCACCTCACCTCACCTCACCATCTCACCTCACCTGCATACAGTAAATATGTCATAACACGTTGCATTTCTAACCCCTTAGTGGTAATTATGAAAACAAATTATAACAGAAGACCCAAATGAATTCCACTCTGAGGACATGAAAAGTTATTCCAACCATGATATGAAATCTTATCATACTAGGGCCGAGCAGATGGTTGACAAGTCTTTGATGTAAATAATGAACTCAATAAGACAACAAATTGGCTTGTTTAAGTAATTAATTTTCCATGTGAGATGTTTGATGTGAGACTAAACAGATGTATTTACAAGCAGTTTGTGATACAGAGAAAGTGTTCTAACACAAATAGCCTGCCCTTTACAACAACTTGTAATCGGAGACATTTCTCGGAGGACTTAGTGGGCAATTCATCACCACAGGCATATGACCATCTCTTGACTTGGCAAATAAACTCGTCTCTAAAAACAGCCTCTCGAATTGCCAAGTGTAGGGTACAGCAATCAGCCTGCATCAATGTTGTAGTTTCTCTGTTTTCTGTTGAGAGGTAACGGAAAGCTAAGCTTTGTTTTATTTTGGGTGTTCAGAAGAGCATAGCTCAACAGAATCTGGTTTGAGAGGCAAGCCGTCAGGTGGTGTGTTGTCAGACAATGACATATTGCACGCGCTCAGTACACTGGTAGGCGAGTGAGGTGTATATGCCTCTGTATACCACGCCAGTGAGTAGCTACGGAAACTGGTTATCATAGATTCTCTATCACTGTCTTCCAACAGCAAACTCTACACACCAGCTGGTCTGGAAACACAAAACTAGGAATTATTCCAAAAAGGTAACCATTTGTTTGTATTTTACAAATGTTGGTGTATATTTTGGTGAGGCGTCAAAACAGCATGAGGATTGTTGGTTGTGAGTTCAATGTGCTGAGGAAACTATTAAGCCTGGGAAAAGTGATAAAACTATATTGAGTTTCATGGCAGCTATTTTTTCTGTTAGTATTTATTTTACAGTGATATGCCTGACTTCCTCGGCAATTTATTTTCTTCAAACTGAGGGTTAAAGAAGAATTTATGAATAGAAGAAGCAGCTGAATTGTGGGTACTGGTTATCAAGAGTTCCAGTGTCTGAGACTTTGCTATTTGTATTCCAGAAGCGCTGGTGGTGTACTGACGGATTCAGCAGACCTGATTGTCTTTACAGGTAGGATAAACATACAATATCACATAGGAATGATGTGTCGGTATATTGTTCAAATCGCTGACTTTTATTATTTATTGACATTTATTGACATTTATTGAAGGTCGAACACATACAACATAGGAATGACATTACAGTATTATATATGTTGCTGTTTGTGTTGTTTATTTGAGTTTCTTTAAGCTTACTTCAGGTTACTGTTCCAAAGAATATGACTTTCAAATATGAAGAGAGGATATTTCATATTTGAAAGCCATATTCTTTGGAATATATATCTCAAGATGGTTTTCGAATTTCATTGAAATTTCTGTTAGCTTCCTCCATTCAGGTAGGTGTCTTAAAAATGATCTATCATGGAGTGATTTTGTTCTTTCTTAAATTTGGTTTAAGCTTCCCCCAATTATCTTTTTTCTGAATGATTGGGGAATATATTGTGTATTAGGGATAGGTATTGTTTTTTTATTGAAAATTATTCAAATACATAGAATATTCTTAAAACATCTCACAGAAATGATGTGTTTTTGTAATTGAATATAGGATTGTTTGTTTTGTATCTTTATTGATGGTTATTTAAGGGTGCCTTTTATGAGCTTGGATTTCATTTTAGTATTATTACGAATATGTGATGGTTATGTTTATCTATATACAGACTTTCTTCTATATCTTCCGGGCTTGTGGGGCGGTGGGGTAGCCTAATGGTTAAAGCGTTGGCTCGTCACGCCGAAGACCCGGGTTCGAATCCCCACATGGGCACAATGTGTGAAGCCCATTTCTGGTGTCCCCCGCCGTGATGTTGCTGGAATATTGCTAAAAGCGGCGTAAAACCAAATTCAGTCAGTCAGTCCGGGCTTGTATTTTGGTAAACATACACTATAGAGACGTGGAAGATGTTGGAGTTGATTGATACAGAACCTGAAACAGTAAGACTATTATGATGTAGTTTATATTTCTGAAATCAGATTTTAATCAAATATATTTGTCAGTTTCTCTAATATGATCTGAAATTCAGAAAATAGATATTTGTAAGAATGATACAAAATTGCCACCATTTTCTACAAATGTACAAGTTTGGCATGGTTTATTTTGTTAATAACGAAAAAAAAAATAGTGGTAAATGAAACGATGTAATTTGTAATGTTTACTCAGTAGTGAAATAAGAACTATTCTTAATTCTGAAACTTTAAGATTTCATTTTAAAATAAATTTATTTATTATGTATTTGTGAAGCTTATGAGTTATTATGACAGCTAGGTGACAAAACAGAAATACTGAGATTGGTAGCAAACCCCATGTTTCCTTATACTTGGTCGTTTCTAAAAATATTACTGCACTTGACACAATGAGCATGGGAAGCACTTACGTAAGTTCAAAGGCAAAGAAGTACGTCTGAGCACATGGCCAGGGAAGGCGTACTATCAGGATTAGTTGTTTTATGACGAAAGACATCTTTCCACCAGAGGATATATTTTTACTGATGAAGTTATTATTTTTTAAAAATACAAAATTTAATGTACTGAAATTTTGAATTTGAGAAATATGTTTCATCTTTAGATGACTTGAACCTTCCCCAACTTGTTTCTTAAACCTTCCCCAATGTTTGTAGTTTTAAATATTGGAGACCTTCCTCTAAACAGGATAGATGTTACATCACATAGCTCAAGCGTCATAATGCTTAGTGTATATTATTAAACCCCATAGTGAACACCATCATATCCCAAACATACCATCATATCCCAAACATATCATCATGTCCCATACTGTACATCATTGTATCCCACAGCATGTCATCATATCCCATAGTGTAATGCATCATATCCCACAGTGTACATCATCATATCCCACAGTGTACATCATTGTATCCCACAGCATGTCATCATATCCCACAGTGTACATCATCATATCCCACAGCATGTCATAATATCCCACAGTGTACATCATCATATCCCACAGCATGTTATCATATCCCACAGTGTACCTCATCATATCCCACAGCATGTTATCATATCCCATAGTGTATGTCATCATATCCCACAGCATGTCATAATATCCAGTAGTGTATGTCATCATATCCCACAGCATGTCATCATATCCCACAGTGTACATCATCATATCCCACAGTGTACATCATCATATCCCACAGCATGTTATCATATCCAACAGTGTACCTCATCATATCCCACAGCATGTTATCATATCCAATAGTGTATGTCATCATATCCCACAGCATGTCATAATATCCCATAGTGCATGTCATCATATCCCACAGCATGTCATCATATCCCACAGTGTACATCATCGTATCCCACAGTGTACATCATCATATCCCACAGTGTACCTCATCATATCCCACAGCATGTTATCATATCCCATAGTGTATATAATCATATCCCACAGCATGTTATCATATCCCACAGTGTACCTCATCATATCCCACAGCATGTTATCATATCCCATAGTGTATGTCATCATATCCCAAAGCTTGTCATCATATCTCATTGTGTATGTCATCATATCCCTCAGCATGTCATCATATCTCATAGTGTATGTCATCGTATCCCACAGCTTGTCATCATATCTCATTGTGTATGTCATCATATCTTATTGTGTATGTATCATCATGTCGCATAGTGTATGTCATCACATCCAACAGCATATCATCATATACCATAGAGTGTCATCATATACTATGGTGAATATCATCATGTTTCTTAACATGTCATCATATCCCAAAGTGCATATAATTATTTCCGCAAGTGTACATCTTCATATCAAATAGTGTGTCATCATATCCCCTAGAGTATAATTATGATTATGTCACATAGTGTATATCATGATATACTCTACTGTATATAATCATATCCCATAGTGTATATCATTATACTGTATATCATAGTCTACCCATGTATTGTCATATCCAATTGTGTGCACCAATGATTAACAGTAACTGGTTTCTCCAATGACAAATCTGAAGTGAGTGAGTATGGTTTTATGCCCCTTTTAGCAATATTCAAGCCATGTCATGGAGGGGGACACCAGAAATGGGCTTCAAGCATTCTACCCATGTGGGGAATCGAACCTGGGTCTTCGGTGTGATGAGAAAATGCTTTAATCCACTTGGCTACCCCACCCCCCGTGACAAATTTTAAGCCTTTCAGAGATCTTCGAAATATTCTGTTGGCTCCTGATCTGTCAGCTTTCAAAACAAGTTACATAACCCAACTTATTTTCAACTTGCATGTGAAACTTTAATGTCACACTGTCAGTATTCCAGTCAAATCCTAACCAATCAAACTACAACTAAATATGTTAAGAAATTTATTCTCTGTCCCTCGTCTTTTGGATACCAGCCAGCTAACTCTTTTACCAATTTCCTGTAATATTCTTGTCAGTGTCATGATAATTAAATATGTCAACTAAAATTCTACATGATAGTTCACTTTGACGATTGTCTGCATGCCACTTCTAGTCAGCAGTTTATATTTCTGTCCCTGGCGCCAGAAGATCTCTTGTCAATCAAACTGACGCTAATATGCAGTTGGCTGTATGTGAAATATTGCCCTATTTATCAGATATGACAGTGTTGGTGCAGTTTGATTTTCAGGTCTACTTCAAATTGACAAAATGCAAAATAACTGAAATATTGTTATTGAAAACTTAATTGTAGACATTGAGAAACGATTTGTGTCTTCTGATTGTCTTCTGAAGGTTTTTCTCCTATTTACAGTTACATTTAACTATCCTTCTGGGCTGAATAAGTTTACACTTGAAAAATTAATTTGACAAACAAATTGCAAATGGTATAAAAATATACTTAGGCTGAAATCAGTTGTTACAAAAAATGAAATATTAAGGTCTCAAAACACAGGTATGACAGTATACAGTAAACAATATCTCCCTAAAAACATTCTTGGTTGTTTCCATTTTACCCACCAAAATTGATATATATTTTCTTTTGGTCAGCACTGTATATGACATTACTATGTAAGCATATTTTCCCGGCTACCTGATTGGGCTAGAAAAGCATATTGACACCAACCCAGGTCCGACCAAACGTCATATTGATTTGAGTTACTAAATATATATTTTGACGTCAAACTATGACGTCATTCTATTGTTTACATGTCAGAGTATTGTTGACAAACATTATTGGTTTGTAGTGAAAATAAAATTACTTTTCTTGACTAAATGGACATGTTTTGGTTTTTAGAAGCTTTTTTCGGTAATTACATAATAAAACAATAATGCACTGGTGAATTCGGTCAATACCTGTTTTAATGGACCCGTGAAAAGCAATATTGACCTCGGATTTCGTCCTCGGTCAATATTGTTTTTCCCGGGTCCATAAAAACAGGCATTGACCTCATAATTATGAATCGGTTTTCATATTGTTTTCAGTTTTTGAAAATCATAAAGATCAACAGGATTATTTGTTGGCCTGACTTTTCCGCTCGTGTTTTCATAGTTCCGGATGTAGCTTTAATTAACACCAACTGGTTTGGTCATTTCCTACCTCAAATACTGCGTGAGTGGTACAGAGTGGGGATTTCAGATATACTCTACTTGGGGTTTATTTTCCAAAACGTTTAGGTCTTGTGAAAAGAAAAAGAAAATGGATTTCAGAATTTTAGTTTTATTCAACTACTGTGATCATTTTAATTCTAAATCAGGTGGGCGGTGGGGTAGCCTGATGGTTAAAGCGTTCGCTCGTCATGCTGAAGACCCAGGTTCGATTCCCCACATGGGCACAATGTGTAAAGCCCATTTCTGGTGTCCCCCGCCGTGATTTTGCTGGAATATTGCTAAAAGCGGCATAAAATCAAACTCACTCACTCACTCACTCTAAATCAGGAATACTATTTTGACTTTTTATGTCTTAAAAATGTTTTTAATTTTAAACATTTCTATTCCACAAACTACATTGACGGTTTGGTATTGTCTGTAATTATTGATTAGAGTAGAAATACAGTGAGTAAGTATGGTTTTACGCCGCTTTTAGCAATATTACAGCAATATCACGGTGGGGAACACCAGAAATGGGCTTCACACATTGTACCCATGTGGGGATTCGAACCCGGGTCTTCAGCGTGATGAGTGGATGAATTAACCATTAGGCTACCCCAACACCCGAGTAGAAATAGATAACCGTCAACTAAAATTACAGAATTAGAATGTTTTAGTCTTGGAATGTAAAATCTGTTGAAGAAACAAATTTGTTAAAGGCCACATGCAACCAAAAAATCAAACATAATAAAAACACAATTATCACTTATTCATGACATATAATATACATTGCTGGTTATGAAAAAACATATAAACAAAATTATAAGCGTACATCAAAAGTGCAATATTGTGTACTTGGGTTTACTTCCCAAGAAACGAAGCAGCCGGGATACCGAACCCAGTCAGAGCGGGTGGGTGTGCACTCAAGTGTAACGGCTGGTTCATTTGCAGATGCCCTCACGGCTCATTGTGTGTGTATATATAAAGATGTTGGGTTTTGTAAATACATGCTCATTTTTTGTGTATAACATTTTGCAATCAACAGACATCATAACATGTCATGTGTTCAAGTATCACACCTGCCTGTCTGTGTAATTACATAATGTGACAGAGACCGAACTCAGGGCATAAATCAATGCGTTTTGTTTATGGTTTATAGCCTGATAGGTGTTAAGTTCAAATTGCATGTGGTCAGTGATTGAAGTTGTGTATTGAATAATGTCATTAGCAGACAGGCAGGCAGACACATAGGTGTCAAGAAAACAGACATTGAGTTTTGTCTGTGACAACAACGTATCTATATCACAGTTAGAAATTCTGTCAACACTAAATAATGACATTGCTTTTAAGTATCTAACTGAAAAAGTGACAGGGTAAGAAGAACGTGTGGTGAAATAGACAAATGAAATTATATAAACAGTGAAATCGGTAATCTACTGTCATAACATATAAAAAGCTCGCGCCTGTGAAATATCAACAAAACATTAGAAAAATAGCTCACACCAAAGCCTTCACTGAGTATTGACTGGACAACCCGCTTACAAGCTGCGCGAACCTATTTCAATGCGCATGAGCTATGAGTGCAGCCCAGCTCAGCTGTTGAAACCACTTTTTAGTGAATCGTTTGAACTCCGATTTTGTGCGGGTTTTTTCATTGCGTTATTTTTCAACTTTATTAGTTGAATTTGCATTTTTCATGATTTGTTTCGGTAAGTCCATACCGAAAGGTATCAGAATCTGCAAAGTTGTGTTTTACGTTGCATGTGACCTTTAACTGAACAAATTATAATAAAACTGGAAAGAAACATGAATTCAGTACAGAATGGCAACAAATGATTTATATTCCTCTGTATTTTGGTTATGTTGACATTTGGCTTAAAAGTACTGTTATCTTCTAACCTTCAGTTGTACATTGCCATTTAGGAAATATCAAGATGTGTATTTTGTGTATCAGTATCATATCAATACATCATGTCTGTAAATCAAATCAAATGCAGCAAATTATGCACAGTCCTGAGATAGCACGCCAATTTAGCAGAGCATCATGATAAATAGCTAAAGCTGGGCCTGGTTCGAGGGAGACCTGTTTGGGTCTACGTCTACCCAGCATCAAGGTCAGGTTTCTGTAGTGGGGAACACTGTTCAAACAAACTGGAGGATTGGCATTCATCGTTATGTGAATGTACAGGTGATTAGGGGTGACTTGCAGCATGTGTTCCTCTCATTCCTCAAACCTGGGAGGTATTCTTTGGAGAAACCCAAGGGGGTAGACTGATGTTTTGTCCCAGAAATAAGCTATCATATCTAAAAATCATATCTACAAAAGAAAAAGTATATTATTCATAGAGACTACAATGCTAAGGTTAGATGCTTGGAGCTGAGGTAATTTAGACTTGCCAAATCATTCTAGACTTGATTTGGACCCCTTTCTTAATTTAGTCTTGATGGATGTTAAATTCCAGAAATATGCTATCATATTAATTGTATCTACAAAATAAAAAGTTTATTTTCTAAAAGGGGCACAATGCTTAGATCAGATGCTTAGAGCTGAGGTAATCTAGACTTGCCAAATCATTCTAGACATGAGTTGGGCTCCTTTTTAATTAAGTCAATATGGATGTTTAGTCCCATAAATAAAACTATATCATATCTAAAAATCATATCTACAAAATAGAGAGTATATTATCCAAATAGAGAACAATGCTTGGTTTACATGCTTGGAGCTGATCAATCTAGACTTGACAAATACTAGTAGTTCTAGACTTGAGCTGGACTCCTTTGTTAATTTCATCTCTAGGGGGGCGGTGGGGTAGCCTAGTGGTTAAGGCGTTTGCTCGTCACGATGAAGACCTGGGTTCGATTCCCCACATGGGCACAGTGTGTGAAGCCCATTTCTGGTGTCCACCGCTGTGATATTGCTGGAATATTGCTAAAAGCGGCGTAAACCACACTCACTCACCCATCTCTAGGGTCTGAGAAGAAGCTGCTGCCAGGAACACAAAGACATATATAGAACTGCTGAAAAGAGAAATTGGTCACTGACTGTATTTTTCCATAAAATATGTTCAGATCAGAGACTGGATGTTGGTGTATCTTCGTCTCTGCTTACAATGTTTATGATGAGCTTCATAAAGCGAGTGATTGAGTTTGTGTTTACGCTGTTTTCAGCAATATTCCAGCAATATCATGGCAGGGGACACCAGAAATGGGCTTCACACATTGTACCCACATGGGGAATCGAACCCGGGTCTTCAGCGTGACAAGCTAACGCTTTAACCACAAGACTACCCTACCACCCTTAATGTTATAAAGAACTGACGGATATAACAAACTGGCCACCTGCTGTATGTTTTAGTTGAAATGCATATAATGAACTATGGTGTTCACAAATGAAAATTGGGGCGGTGGGGTAGCCTAATGGTTAAAGCGTTGGCTCGTCACGCCGAAGGCCCGGGTTTGATTCCACACATGGGCACATTGTGTGAAGCCCATTTCAGGTGTTCCTTGCCGTGATATTGCTAAAATATTGCTAAAAGCGGCGTAAAACCATATTCACTCACTCACTCACAAATGAAAATTAGTGGTCCCTTTATGTTTGTTATACTGTAGTTTACTAGATTGGGGAACATGACCCACAGACCACATGTTACTGGCCTTCTTAATGATGGTATCCCAACTGCATAGATCGATGCTATGTTATGTATCTGTAGCAGGGCGTGGAGTCATCCCACAGATGACACCACGCCCTGCTACATACTCCCCCGTCAGCAGAAGGCACGTCCCGAGCCGCATAGTTGGGTACTGAGACAAACTTCATCTTTGATAAGTAGCGGAATAAGGATTCCCCAAGTCCTCTGTACTATTTTTTGAAAGCCTATTTCGAGGACTTTACTTCCGAAGTCTGACTATAGTGCAACACAAAAAAGCCCAATATTTTAGCAGTTTATCTAGTTTACCACCTTTTCCAGTTCCATGATATTTCATCACTAATTATTTTCATCTGCGTTTCAACCAGTACCACACGCATGACGTGATCTCAGGGCAATATGGCCGCCAGTTGGCAGCCATATCTATTAGGGCATCTAACCAAAGCCACATGGACAGGAAGGGAAACAAGTCTCGTATCCGAGTCCACGTGGAAGTATTGCCGATGTGTTTTTTCCCTTATCTTTTGTCTGGTCATGCTTTCTGGATTTCCCTCATCAAAGAGTTACAAGGTGTTGTACCACCTGCGTTAAATGCAGACGGCCAGCTGCTCTATGAACCTGAGGAGGTCATCTTGCTGCTTTTCTCAGTGTGGGGTTATTAACTCGAGGGGGAATGTTTGGAGCAGTGGCAGGTATTTAAAAAAAACAGGAAGGTGTGGTATGAACAGGTGAATGTTGCGTTATTGAAAATACTTACTGAAAATTGGTTGGTTGGTTTAGGCTGCACTCATCAATATCCCAGCTATATGGCAGTGAAAATGGGTTGATTTTGGCATATCTTCTGGGTAAGGGCAGCCATTGATTTGAAGGGATTGCTTTTTGTTTTTTTAATTGATGTGTGAAAAAAACCCTCAGTTATGCATTTATTTCCGTTTCAGTTAAATATCTCAGTATGGTCATCATTAATTTTTTGTGAAGAAAGGTAATCTTATATCATATATAAATGCTTGATTAGTCATTTATATTTATTTCACTGGTTAAAAACCACCTTTTTCTGTATAGTAACTATGTTTTGTGAAAAGTGAGAAAATTGTAACAAATTTGAAATGTTACTCGACAAAATGCGGTCTATGCACTCTCTTATGATGAAAAATGCTTCGGGAACCTAAAATGAAGAAACAGCAACATGACTCTACCTAAAAGATTTTAAGGACAGACAAATCTTTTTTCAGTAGTTGGATATAAAGTGAAATCTAGATGTAATGAAGCGTGTGTTTGGTATGTACAAAGCATGAATTAGAATGATGATACTAAAGCAGAACTAACTCTCCTATTTCCCTGTCAGTTTTACAACCAGCATTCCCATGGAGAAGATTTTGTATTTTAGATTTTGTGTTTACTGGCAAAATATAATGCAGAAAGTATGTTCACAGCATTTTTGCTGATTAGCTAAAAAATATACAGGGGTTTACCTTGAGTTCTGTATTTGAGGGTCCCTGGGACTCATACTCTTAATTTTCAGGGTCCTGGACTACAAAATGGGGGTCCCAAACACTTAAACATTATTATTAATGCTTTGTTGTAATATTGTTGTAATTCAGTTCCTGTTATTGTATTGTGTATCATGATCATCACATTGTTACAGTAATTAAATTGCAAATAATACCATAACCAAGCTAGTAGCAAACTTATTATTATTTGATTGAAATTTTTGCAAAAAGTATTTGAACTTTTTCTGCATCCCTGTGGATGTGCTAAGAAATTTCGTTGCGTCCATTGTCAATTTGTATGCGTATAGGACGCATGATGACGCAGGTTCCTGTAAATCCCTGAATATACAAACTACTGATTAAAGGACCCAAATTTGACTGACTTCATGCACCCCCCATCTGGACCCCCCATCTGAACACCTCTTATGTAAGAAAGGTGTGTTATGGTTAGTGGTTGGGACAACAGGATCAAGGGCTTTGCATTGTTTCACGCCTTCTTTGCTAAGGTCATATCCAGGTTTATGTATATGATGGTGTCACGTCAAGTCATCAGTATGCTAGTTTCCACAAGACTGTAAATGTCACGTCAGGCAGTAGTAAAAGTAAGATAAAGAAAAAAAAGAAAAAATTATGTCTGAATAAAAGTAATTATTCCATTGTTGTGACAAAAAATGTTTCGGCTCTTTGACACCTGAACGTGACCAACTTAGAGAATGTTATCATTTATGATGTAGATTGTAGATATCATATGTTTATTAGTTGTGTCTTGCATATAATCTGGGTTGATAAATTGATGCTGTATTTAGGAGCTGTAAAGGATACATAAATATGACAACATATGACAAGATATGTTTATATGCTATGGTTTTCAGCTTTGCTTCAGGGAGGTTTCTGGGGCGGTAGGGTAGCCTAGTGGTTAAAGCGTTTGCTCATCATGCTAAGGACCCAGGTTCGATTCTCCACATGGGTAAAATGTGTGAAGCCCATTTCTGGAGTCCCCTGCCGTGATATTGCAGGAATATTGCTAAAAGCGGTGTAAAACTAAACTCACTCACTAAGAGAGGTTTCAGAACTCAAGTCATCAGGCCCTGTAGCTCACCAGCAATGTTACATCATTATCCATCCGGGGCGGTGGGGTAGCCTAGTGGTTAAAGCGTTGGCTCGTCACGCCGAAGACCCGGGTTCGATTCCCCACATGGGCACAATGTGTTAAGCCCATTTCTGGTGTCCCCCGCCGTGATATTGCTGGAATATTGCTAAAAGCGGCGTAAAACTAATCTCAGTCAGTCAGTCATTATCCATCCAGTTTTCAAGATGTGGGATAAAAATTTCTTACAAAGTCAAAAATAGTTATTATCACAGTCAAATATCATTTTCAAATTAGACATACTTATTTTTAGTCTAATATGTTTTTTGAATGATTGAAAAAACAACAACATATACTTTACAACTACAACTTCATTTCTCTTGTTACAGACTCTTCAGAATTTTCCTTTCCCATAGTTTAATTGGACAGGAGGATGCAGGGTACACCTTTCATGAAAGAGGGACATTAACAATAGGTTCTTCTGTGTTAGAAATACCATTGTGGAAAATATATGATTCACAACTTATTAAAGGGGTGGAGGGGTAGCCTAGTGGTTAAAGCGTTCGCTCGTCACGCCAAAGACCCGGGTTCGATTCCCCACATGGGTACAATGTGTTAAGCCCATTTCTGGTGTCCCCCATCGTGATCTTGCTGGAATATTGCTAAAAGCGGCGTAAAACTACATTCACTCACTCATAACTTATTATGACCGGCAAGGGAGTGGGTAAGCCTAGTGGTTAAAACATTCGCATGTCATGCTGAAGACCTGAGTTTGATTCTCCACATGGGTACATTGTGTGAAGCCCATTTCTGGTGGGTGACCATGGTATTGCTGGAATATTGCTACAAGCGGCATGAAACCATACTCACTCACTCATTCATTCACTATTACCAGCCAACCTTCACATACATATGTAGAGTTAGGGAATTTTACATTTAATTGCCTAAACTGACAGCTCAGTAAGCAACCCACTAACCTACACACCCAGGGCAGAGTAAGTGTTCTCTACAAGCTTGCGGTGGCAGCTACCTCTGTAAATGAACATTGTTTATTTTGTGCGAAATGTATCCGACTGGCCCACTTTCAAAAGATACTCAAGGTCCAACCATGTACTGTACAATCATAGTGTATGGATCATAGTGTATGGATCATAGTGTATTGATCATAGTAAAGAAATACAGAACAGAATTTGGTTCTATCCAAGGGTTTTTTGGCAGTGAATGTAATAAATGATATTATTTACCTTTACAATAGATGAAGACGTTAATGAATTACATTTAAACAGCACTTGATGAAAGACAAATTTGTTCGGCAGATATATTTCTCTTAATGTACTGTAGTCAAAAGAAAGTGGTACTTGTCAGGAGCATTGGTATTACTTTCAGGAAAATTTATTCATGTCTTGATCGCCATAAATACTTGAAAATTTCTGATGCGGTGTTTCACTCACTCACTCACTCACTCCTGATGTTTTCAATATTATAATGCCATCCAGTTCTGTGCGGAGATTTTGTGAAATGCAACAAAATTGCATCACAGCCATTTGGCTGAGATCAAAGTGTAGTGTCTGTTCTACCACTGTGTGAGACAGTGACCCAGGCAGCCATTGAAGGTCTCAGGTGAGAAATACTTGGCAAACATTCCCGAGTTGTGCTTGACGTAAGAGTTGTTCTCCATGAATGTTGATAGAGGTTAGATGTTGTAATGTGTGACCTTTACCAGGTTTGTTGCACTCTCAGGTAATCTTGCAGCATCCTCACTGTGCTGGGATGGAGGAGATGCTTGTCTTGTATATGAGGGTGAAAAAGTTAGCAACACAAGTTTTGAGTAACTGATCATTTCCTGCAATTGATTGGTATTAACAAAGTGATTGGATGTTTGATCAATTCTCAATGACAGTATTGATGATAGCATTGATAGCAGTGGTGATGACAGCATTGATAGCAGTATTGATGACAGTATCAAACACAATACTGATAGCATTGAATGCAGTATTGATGACAGCACTGATGACAGTATCAGACACAATATTGATAGCATTGATGGCAGTATTGATGACAGTATCGAACACAATATTGATTATCGAATCGAACACAATATTGATAGCATTGATGGCAGTATTGATGACAGCACTGATGACAGTATCAGACACAATATTGACAGCATTGATAGCAGTATTGATGACAGTATCAGACACAATATTTATTGCATTGATGGCAGTATTGAAGACAGCACTGATGACAGTATCGAACACAATATTGATAGCATTGATGGCAGTATTGATGACAGTATCGAACACAATATTGATAGTATTGATGACAGTATTGATGACAGCACTGATGACAGTATCGAACACAATATTGATAGCATTGATGGCAGTATTGATGACAGCACTGATGACAGTATCGAACACAATATTGACAGCATTGATAGCAGTATTGATGACAGCACTGATGACAGTATCAGACACAATATTGATAGCATTGATGGCAGTATTGATGACAGCAGTGACGACAGTATCAAACACAATATTGATTGCATTGGTTGCAGTATTGATGACAGTATCAGACACAATATTGATAGCATTGATGGCAGTATTGATGACAGCACTGATGACAGTATCAGACACAATATTGATAGCATTGATGGCAGTATTGATGACAGCACTGATGACAGTATCGAACACAATATTGATAGCATTGATGGCAGTATTGATGACAGCACTGATGACAGTATCGAACACAATATTGATAGCATTGATGGCAGTATTGATGACAGTATCAGACACAATATTGATAGCATTGATGGCAGTATTGATGACAGCACTGATGACAGTATCAGACACAATATTGATAGCATTGATGGCAGTATTGATGACAGCACTGATGACAGTATCGAACACAATATTGATTGCATTGGTGGCAGTATTGATGACAGTATCAGACACAATATTGATAGCATTGATGGCAGTATTGATGACAGCACTGATGACAGTATCAGACACAATATTGATAGCATTGATGGCAGTATTGATGACAGCACTGACGACAATATCGAGCATAACATTGATAGCATTGATGGCAGTATTGATGACAGCACTGATGACAGTATCGAACACAATATTGATAGCATTGATGGCAGTATTGATGACAGCACTGATGACAGTATCGAACACAATATTGATAGCATTGATGGCAGTATTGATAACAGCACTGACGACAATATCGAGCATAACATTGATAGCATTGATGGCAGTATTGATGACAGCACTGATGACAATATCGAACACAATATTGATAGTATTGATGACAGCACTGATGACAGTATCGAACACAATATTGATAGCATTGATGGCAGTATTGATGACAGCACTGATGACAGTATCACGGTATTGATGACAGCAATATTGATAGCATTGATGGCAGTATTGATGACAGCACTGATGACAGTATCAGACACAATATTGATAGCATTGATGGCAGTATTGATGACAGCACTGATGACAGTATCGAACACAATATTGACAGCATTGATAGCAGTATTGATGACAGCACTGATGACAGTATCAGACACAATATTGATAGCATTGATGGCAGTATTGATGACAGCAGTGACGACAGTATCAAACACAATATTGATTGCATTGGTTGCAGTATTGATGACAGTATCAGACACAATATTGATAGCATTGATGGCAGTATTGATGACAGCACTGATGACAGTATCAGACACAATATTGATAGCATTGATGGCAGTATTGATGACAGCAGTGACGACAGTATCAAACACAATATTGATTGCATTGGTTGCAGTATTGATGACAGTATCAGACACAATATTGATAGCATTGATGGCAGTATTGATGACAGCACTGATGACAGTATCGAACACAATATTGATTGCATTGGTGGCAGTATTGATGACAGTATCAGACACAATATTGATAGCATTGATGGCAGTATTGATGACAGCACTGATGACAGTATCGAACACAATATTGATAGCATTGATGGCAGTATTGATGACAGCACTGACGACAATATCGAGCATAACATTGATAGCATTGATGGCAGTATTGATGACAGCACTGATGACAATATCGAACACAATATTGATAGTATTGATGACAGCACTGATGACAGCACTGATGACAGTATCGAACACAATATTGATAGCATTGATGGCAGTATTGATGACAGCACTGATGACAGTATCGAACACAATATTGATAGCATTGATGGCAGTATTGATGGCAGTATTGATGACAGTATCGAACAAATATTGACAGCATTGATGGCAGTATTGATGACAGCACTGACCACAGTATCGAACACAATATTGATAGCATTGATGGCAGTATTGATGCAAATAGCAATGGCAGTATTTATTACAGTATGGATGAAAAAATGATGACAGTAGTGAATACAATATTGATGATAATATTGATGACAGTATTGATTATAATATTGATAGCATTGATGACAATAGTGATGAAAGTATTGACAACAGTATTGATCACAATATTGATGATAGCATCGACGACAGTATTGAATATAATATCAGTGACTGTACTGAATGCAATATTGATGATATTATTGATAACAGTATTGAGGTCAGTTTGTTAAAAGCATGGGGGAACATATCGAACATTGGGAACTGTATGGATGATAGTAGTACCAAAAGAATTACGGTAATGCTTTAAGTACTGACGAGAGTATTGGTTGAAATAGTGAGGTGAGGTGATATTGGGTTTAACGTCGTGCTTGAGAATATGTCGCTCATATGATGATGTGCATTGTGTGTATGTGTATGTGCGGCTGCTTGTACTAGCCCAGACTAAAGCTGGTTTTATAGTGCTAGTCCACTGAGATACCATGTGGAAATAGTGATGAGTGAAGCAGGAATACCCCACTCAGACACATTATACTGACTCCGAGCCGACCAGTCCTTGGTGGAAATAGTGGTTACAGTATTGGTGGAAGCTGTGATGACAGTATTGGTGGAAATAGTGGTGACAGTATTGGTGGAAATAGTGGTGACAGTATTGGTGGAAGCTGTGATGACAGTATTGGTGGAAATAGTGGTTGACAGTATTGGTGGAAATAGTGGTTACAGTATTGGTGGAAGCTGTGATGACTGTATTGGTGGAAATAGTGGTGACAGTATTGGTGGAAGCTGTGATGACAGTATTGATTTAAATAGTAAAGACAGCAGTGACTTAAGTACTAATGACACTACAGGTCACATGATTAATATAGATATTGATGATAGCATTTATGGCAAAACTGAAAGTAACTAGACACCTATTGTCCTTCTATTACTGTCAAGTACATGAAGAGAAAGTTGTGGTTTTTTTCCGATATTTCTAGATTCAACTGTAATCAAAATTACAATTCAAAATGACAAAATCCCCAAATTGCAACCACATCATTTCAAACACAATTGAGCGGATGTGAACGTATGAGATTTAGCCCCTCTGTAACAGGCAACACTTATGGTGCTTCCTGCCTGGTTTGTATTTTCCGTTATGGAGAAGTGGCTCTGATCCTACAGTCACTTGGGTATTCCATGACATATGGGAAATATACTACTCAAGTTAAGTTAAGAACACTTGTTTTTTTTTCAATATCACTATAATTAATCTTTTGTGGCAAAAAATTCCATTTTACTGTAGTTGATTGTCATGGAAAGAACGCCTGATTATTGATTTTATAGATAATTTCTCATGTAGTGATTAACTGGAATTATAAACATCTAGTGACATCACTCTATTGTCTCACCAGGTTCTCTTTTTACCAAGTAACCTCTGCAGGCAGTTGACCCGTGAAGGTCTGGGTTAGAATATTGATCTTCAGTAACCCAGGCTTGTTGTAAGAAGCGATTAACGGGATCGGGTGGTCAGGCTCACTGGCTTGGTTGACTCATGTCATCGGTTCCCAATTGCGCAGAATGATGCTCATGCTGTTGATCACTGGATTGTCTGGTCCAGACTCGATTATTTACAGACCGCTGCCATGTAGCTGGAATATTGCTGAGTGCAGCGTAGAACTAAACACACTCACACTCTACAGGCAGTTTTGTGGGCATTCTTCAAGAAATCCCAGGGATTTTCCAGAAATGCCCGCATCCCGGGTATTTTCTGATTGGCCACCGAAGACAAACTCCCCAATTTCTCTCTGCTGCAGGCTTACTTTTTCAAACAAAACCTGAGTCGGTTTAATCCATCACTAATATGAGTAAACCTTACTCATGACAGTACCAGGACATTAGACTAACGCTTTGTCTCTGAATATATCTAATTTTTATAGTAACAAATAAGTCTATTTATATTTAAGAGGAGCCCAGTAAGATGGCAGATTCAGAACCCAAGGAAATCTACTTGCTTCATTTAGGGCTTTAGCATTGTAGGGAGGGTTAGGCAGATGGAAAATAATGTGGTTCAGGAACTGTGAGACAGACTACCAGGACATGTGTTGTAGTGTCCCAGTCTTATTTCAGAATTGCAGATGAGTGAGTGAGTGAGTGAGTTGTGTTTTATCCAACTGCTAGCAATATTCCAGCAATATCATGACAGGGGACACCAGAAATGGGCTTCAAACATTGTACCCACATGGGAAATCAAACTCGGTTCTTAAGCCGGACAAGCGAACGCTTTAACCACTGGGCTACCCCACTGCCCCAGAACTGGAGACGAAGGTGAATTACCAGTCAGACAGCAACTGCAGAGAACCAATCCCAGTAACTAAACAACAAAACCCAACCTGCATTCATCATCTTCTAGAAACAGTTGTAATTGTGAGTTTGTCTTAGTGGCCAATGTGATATGCTAGTGGCCTATATAGGTGTAGACTACAGCAATAAGCATTGTTTACATTGTGTCACGCGATCATCTTTCATCCTCATCCTCGGTCTGAGTCCTGACATTTATGCCTACAGCCCGTAGTGTGGAGCATACCAAGTTTTTACCTGAAGCATACCAGGTTTGGGGCTGAAAACATTTCATTTGGTGAGCTGCCTAGTTTAGATTCTTGTATATTTACCTGTGTCTGTGCCTGAGAGGATTGTGTCAGCTGTGTCAATACATGGGGCTAAATTGGTAAGTTTTCCTTGTAGTGTTGAGAACTGTGTTTTACAACCCTGTGTTACTGGCGGATAGTAAACAAGAAACGGTGGGCGTGTTCACTAATTCATCACTTACATGACATGATGAAACATTTCTGTTAGTTTATTATTTTGAAAAATAATTTAATCTTGATAATTGTTTTTTTGTATATTGTAATTTGGAAAGGTTTGTTTTCTGTTTCGGTTGACAAATGGTTGATATATAATTGGGAGGGTTGTTAATGCTGTTCTGTTCAGATTATTCTTTACTGAGAAATGTATGGAAAACAACTTCTTTTATTTTGTGAATCCCATGTTTGGTACAGATTCTTGTACTGTTATCAGGCAGGAATAATTCCAAGAATCCGTTTTGTACTTCTCAACTTCTAAATGCCACTCAAAGAAGATTATTCTTTTAATGAAGAGTTAACAGAAATTCCTTCGTTGTCTTTTGATTTGTGTTACCATGGTTTGACAGTTATTGTATGGGCAGTTTGCCATGTCTATTTCTGTGAAAGAAACTAGTAGAGGTGGGTATTGCAGAGAATTTTCATATTGCGATATATTGCGATGCGGAAGCATATATTGTGATATGTATTGCAATATATTGCAAGGATTATTTTTTTAACAAAAACTACTTATAATCGAGTTAATGCTTGATTATAAGCAAAAACACAACAAAATCACTATGATTGAATAACCGTTTATAAAAACTTTAAAGCATGACAAAATAAAAATGTAAGGAACATTTGGCACTAATGAAACAGGGAAAAGAACAATTAAAAAAACGGAAATATCTGAAGATTTCCGAGTGTTACGAAGTTTTCCAAATGCATGTCAAAATATCGTTTTTCGATCAGCGTATCACAATACGTATCGTTTTCATGTCTGAACCGGTAAATACCGGTAAACCGGTTATATTGCGCAGCCCTAGAAACTAGATTCAGGAATCATAAAGACAAGTCACCTGTACTAAATAAGAGCGTCAACTGTACAATATGGCCTATATCATGAGCTCGTGTTGATGAATAACTATGAAGCATGATTATACCAATGTTCACACAAAGTGTGTGTATACTGATGCACCGAACACATGCAAATGCTATTCAACGGTTCATGGAATCATATGGGAACATGTGGTAATAGAGCAAGTCAAAATAGGGAAAAGCACAGACATGTGTTTCTGTCACTGATGCGCCACATGTCAAAATGTCCCGTAAAACGTTTTGAAAGCTTTACTGAGATAATGGAGTTGTATGACACTCTTTTAAATCTTCCACACTGAAGACCTGGATTCGATTCCCCACATGGGAACAATTAGTCTCTCTCACAGTCCATAATATTTTCCCTATTACCTAACCCTCCCTTTAGTGCTCAAGCTCTAAATGAAGTCTAGATTTCCTCAGGTTCAGGGTCTCTCTTGGGCTCCTTTTCAATTTAAATGGGTTTGTTTGTTACTATCAAAATTATATATATTCAGAGAGAGCGTTAGTCTTGAAGCCCATTTCTGGTGTCTCTCGCAATGATATTGCTGGAATATTGCTAAAAGCATCATAAAACCATACTCACTCACTCACTCCTAGCGATTTACAGAATCAGTGATGTCATAGGTACTTCTCATGCTTAGCATCAAACATATTGAAAGTTTTGCTGTGGTCAAGAATGTTGTAACCCTTATCAAACACCTTTTGAACAAGTGAGTGAGTTTAGTTTTATGCCGCTTTTAGCAATATTTCAGCAATATCACGGCACGGGACACCAGAATGGGCTTCACACATTGTAACTTTTGAACAAGAGTTGTATGACACTTATTGAAATCTTCACACACAGAGCACACTCGATTGCAGCTTGAATGTTGCAAACAGTGGACACTAGAGGCTGGAGATGCTAGAATATTGCTCAACAGAAAGGGAAAGTTAACTATTGGAAAGTTGAAACCATACCTCTTGCAGGGATTGCACAGACTTAAAAAAATTGGACATTTTATCCTAAAAGAGCCAAAAATATTTTAGCCATAGTTGCCAGTGATTTGACAAAAAAAGGCCCCAAATTTAGAAAAACTTGTCAAGATATGATTTTACAGGAAACTAGTACATAATAAAAAATACCCTGCAATGGTGTTAATTTATCTCTATTCTGAACCAAGACTTTCCCAGTGCAGCGAAGTAGGGTAGAGTTATTTTCCCTCTGATGGTCAGTAGTGTTGGGAATTGGTTAAAATCGCATAATTGACAATTGGTTCATTACAACCGATCAATCATCGAAAATAATTGGTTAGCGTCATTTATTAAATTTTCCAGGTTATTTTTGTTAATGCACAAAAAATAAAGAAAATACATGCAGTTCCTTGGGGTGTTTTTTGCAAATTGCACATCTTTAAAGGATGACTAGTATGTTAGGGACATAAATTTCTTGTCGTCTTTAAAATAAATTCAGTTGTGACTTGGAACGAGCATGTAGTGTTCATGAAATGTAACAGATAAAACCAACTGTGTGAAAAATATTGTTAATGCAAAAAGTGTTCCAGAATTGTTTGTGTTCGATTATGAGAAAACATGATCGATTGCTTGGTCGTTTAGTCACTGCAACCAATCTTCGATTTTTTCAATTAATCGGACCACCACTAATGGTCAGTCCTACATTTAACAAACCTTGTGTGTATTCAACTACTTATATGTAGTATGGGTTTCAATAGTTCATTAAAATCGTTGATAAATCCTTAAAAAGTCTTAAATTTGATGGCTGATAATCTGTAGGAACCTGTTTTGTCTTAGAGTCATTTTCAGCGAAACAGATAGTAACTCAATTCCCCACCACCAGGAGGAGTAAAAGATTCTACCAGAAATGTGAGGAATCAGAGATAGCAATCTGAAGCAGGGAGGAACGGTAGATAAGGATGCTGTTAACACAAGTACTTTCAGGTGGAGCACCTTCTTTCTTTGAAGGAGGCTGAGAATTAGGAGTTTAGATAGGTCTTATAAAACATTTTTGTGTCACTGTTGGTTATCTGTTAATGGTGGCATTACTTGCCTTATATCAGTAAATTTGAATTTCAACTGGTTCCAGTGTCATTGTTTACTGGTAATTACCAGTCTTTTAATGGTAAAATTAACCAAGGATCGGTGATTTGTGTGACTGTCTTTCCCAGGCCTGGCAGAAAACAGGACAGGACAGGCAAATATACATTTGAACTGACAT